ACAAGTATTACATGCTTATATTTATTGGTAATTATCATAAAAATTGCAATAACAAACTCGCCCTTATTTAGAAATAAATTATTAGAGCTGGACTTAGGGTTGAACCTTGTATCATTGTAAGGTCAAAGAACTGAATTTAAGTATGTTCAAATATACAGGGTGTTATGTTAAAAAATACGTTTGCCTCACTGAAATGCAACACTAAATTGTTTTCCTAAGTGTAGTTTTAAAATCTGAAGAAAATTTTGTACAACTTTAATCTATTCTATATTTTAGCCCATTTTTTCAAAATACAAAAGTAGAACGTTATAAGAATAACTTTGAGATATTGTTGTTGCATGTTACCACTTACATCTTTCCACAAATAAATGGTACGTACAGATAGTTATCCTTAAAATTATCAGAATATTCAGTTATTTATGGAAGAAAACAATATTAATTCAAACAATCACGTTATCTATGACGACTATGCATTTGCTGTGAAGAGGCTCGACTGAAATGGCACACCTGCTGATTAGAACCCTTCAAATGCCAAGTTTGAAACAACATTGCTTATTTGCCATTGCTACCATTTCAGTATACCAAGAAAAAAAAATGAAAATATGCAGTTCAAGTATTTTCCGTCGTTAAATGTCCTTAAAACCCAGTCACTTAGAAAATCTTGTTAATCCACTGTGTCAATTAGTAAAAGTCAACATTTTTTAGATAAAACCTACAAATAAGGCCAATTTAAGTGATTATCGTAATATTACACAAAAAGGAAAAACATCTTTAACATTTGTACAGGATTAGTCACTATAATCTGACAGCTTATTGTGAGTTTATTATTGAAATTACAAAAAAGTTTTTAATACAAACGTTTCATCTTTTTTTATGAATTTTTATAATACAATATTTTAAAAAACAATTGAATAATGGAAATCACTAAATTAAAGAAAAAAAAAATTAATGGAACACTATATTAGTGCATACTTAGCTTCGTTAAATTTTTCTCTTTTCAAAAATATATAATATGTTACTGTTTGATTCAGAACTTTTCGTCATATTTCAGTTTAAAGCTATTTTTGGAAAAACAGGAGAGAAATTTATGTCTGACGGATCGCAGTGGCTATGGACGAGGCACGAGGAACAAACAAATGACTTTGACAGAAATTTATTTATCATCATTAATGTATTTCCTATATCATTCCTATGTTAACAAAGAAATAATGTTTAGTGAGAACGAAAAATTAAATAATAAAAATCATTCTTAACTTTAACAAGTCTTAACTTTAACAGAATTTTAATACCTAATTAGTAAACACCAACTAAAACATTTAATGGTCACAGATGCTCAATGTGACCGCCATTATTATTGATGCACTTCGTATAATCCTGATTAATTTTCAGAACTGCATTTAGTATGAAATGGGAATTAAATTCACTTAAATTTTGTATACATTGATCAACTTTATATCTTAGTTCATCTAAGTTTACACTAGTTTCCTTATAAACCTCATTTTGTAAGTAACCCCACAGAAAACTGTCCAAGGATGTAAGGTCTGGGCTATTTGAAGGCCATTAAATATTTCCTCCATTACCAATCCACAAATCAAACCTATTATTTAAATAATTTCGTACTGCTCTAGTTCCATGAGAAGGCGCCAAATTAAATTGGTATAGGTAGTCGATCAGCGGCAGGTCTGTTGTTTTCTATTTGATTTTCACGAAAATTAAGGTATTTTTCCCCAGTCAAAGCATCTTCATAAAATAGTGGGCCAATGATTTTAGTTCTCAATATACCGCACCAAACATTAAACGATGTGTGTCCTTGACTTCCCTGAATTTCCCTATTACAGTGAGGATTTTCATTTGCCCAGGTATGAGTATTTTTTCTCTTATAAATGCCAGCTGTTGTAAAAGACGCTTCATCAGTCCATAAAATCTTTTCACAGTAGTTTAGGTCGCCATTTTTTAAGCGCAGCATTTCTCTGAAGTACTCTAATAACAGAATTTTTTGATTTTGGGTGAGTTTTTGGACCGGCATAGTTTTATAAGGAAGGTATTTATAATTATGTAACATTATAATATTTTTACTTTGGCTTATTTCGAACTGTCTTCAAGCATTTACTGTGGACTCTTATGACTATTTTTCAATAATTTAATATTTGAATTTACCATAGTAAACCTCGAATTAATATTTGGTTACCTCGAAAATATAGTAATATAGTTAGTTCTAATTCTTCATTTGGAATAATTCTTCGTTTCTGTCTTCGTTTCTCTAAAGCGTTGCTCAAAATCGTAAAATGCAGCTCGAGATGGAATTGCAAATCCGGGATATAAACATACTCGGCGTGCACTGCATTCACATTATTATTATTCTTGTAAAATAAACGGATAACTTCAAATTTTTTGTTCTCAGTAAACATTATTTCCTTGTTAAAATAGTTTGTTATAGGAAATAAATTAATGATGACAAATATACTTCTGTCAAAAGTTATTTGTTTGTTCCGCGTGCCTCGTCCATAGCCACCGCGATCCGTCAGACATAAATTTATCTCCTGTTTTTTCAAAAATAGTTTTAAACTGAATTATGTCGAAAAGTCCTGAATGAAACAGTAACATATTATATATTTTTGAAGAGGAAAATTTAACGAAGCTAAGTATACACTAATATATAGGGTGTTCCATTAAAAAAAAATCTTTAATTTAGTGATTTCCATTATTTTTTCTAATACTATATTATAAAAATTCATAAACAAGCTAAAACTTTTGTATTATAAAATTTTTTGTAATTTCAATAATAAACTCATAATAAGTTGTCGGATTATAGTGACTAAGCCTGTATATAATAGGTATTGTCGCTTTCAATAAGGTTGGTGTTTCGTTGTCCGGACATTTGGGCCACACGTTGAGCGCCATGTAGCAGATTTACCTCATTTAGACTCCTGTTAGGCATATTTGGCACACTTAGGGAACCATGTCGTAGAAAATGATTATGTCCACCTATATTCTTCATCAGGGGTGGGAAGTATGGTGCTATGATCTAATTCTATTCTATTCCTAACTCCTAAGAGCCGTTGTTACATCTATGAGTACTTCGGTTAATTATTCAAAACCAATACGTGGAAAATTAGGTACTGACAGTACTGAAAGTTTATGATAGATCTGACTTTCAGGAATAAAAGCCTATAAAGAAACCATTAAAACTGTTAACAATGTCGTATCAGTGATCTAATACCTTATTACTGTAAACCATTTTTCCTGGTATCATAGTATTACATTATCTTGAATTAATAAATAAGCAAAAGCAACTAAGATTATTAGTTAAATCAAGTTCTACGCCTCGTGTATAATCTTAAAAAGCTTTCGATGTTTGAATCGAAATTATAGTTTTAATACGTTTATAATTTTCCAAAGCATCTTGAGTACATCAATTATTATCTTATCGCTTTAGAAAATTTAAAAAAGAAATATTTGACTTCGTTTGATAGGATACTTTTAAATAATCTTGTTTAAATTAGTTTAATAAACTTAAATTAGAGCAAAAAATTAATTTAAACAAGTTACGCATAACGTCTACAACTATGACTCATAATCCTGCGAATCCAAGATGCTTCGCTTGGTATTTTCCCATTGGTATTAGTAAGCATCTGAACAGAATAACTTTACTGTAACTAATAAACTGTCGATCATGTTGTGTTGTTGAACTAAAGTGTAGTAATTTCTATAAATTTCAACCATGTTTTTCTCTCTCTTGATTCGATGTCAATAATAAAAGTTAGAGGTCTGTTGGCTTTTGGTATTGGAACTTACTTCCACTATTAGTTTACTATCAATATCCTCCATATCACCAACAGTCATTTTCTGCATGCACAAGCAATGCCAAAAGTTACTAACTTACTAAATTATCTACTACTTGTCACTCCACTATGAAAGAAATTATTGCATTAAAATTACCATCATCATTAAAAATATATCATTAGGTGCTTCGCTTAAAAATTTTTATAGTTTATCTTTGCTGGAGACTTGATTTTTTTTTGTATGGTGACCTACGGATTGTCACTTCATATAAAAGGTCAACTCGGAAAATTGTTTAATAACGATCGCTTTCTCAGCTCCCATTAAAATGTTTACAATGTAATTTTAATTTATAATTCTGTAAATATACCCGCTGTCAATATGTACAACCCGCGCAGACTTTTTGTAACATTATTTACTCACTTGGCGCTAATAATATAACACAAATATAAATCAGACATTAGACAAAATAATTAAAAGAGGATTCCAAATTCCTGACACATTACTGAGATAATAGAAATTCCTTTTGCGGCATCTTAAATATAACAGTCAACAATACTTTGTCTTCCCTACGACGTACACCGTTGTTCAGTGAAGAAAGTACTTGAGACGATATTATTTCAGTTCGTATAAATACTCGACCAAATCACTACCAATACAGTCTTAGACCTACAGCTGAAGCGAATATATGAAGACTATCGCCTGCCTTGCTGCCCTAGCCCTTGTATTCGCCTTCTCTGTAAGTGTAATAGTATTTTATTACGAAAAGACTAAGTAATTGTTATTGAGATTTGTTTTACATCTTTAATATGTGCCTTTTATTTCCTTGTATATGACCAGATCAGTCATAAAATTATTCTAATATACACACTGAAATTCATAAATTTTCATAATTTTCATTTTTAATTTATGCAAACTACCAAAAAAGGAAGCAATTAATGTATTAAAGCGCAACAGCATAATTATAAAATATTTTTTCAGGCCAACGTAGGGGGGCATGCTATCGATATTGATAAGGTGAAATCCTCACTACACGATAATGTACTGGAAATCGACATTCAAATTAAAGCTGAAGCATTAGAATAACCAGAGCCACCAGAAGATCCCAGAGCTCCTGAAGATCCCAGGGTTCCTGCAGATCCTGAAGATCCCAGAGCTCCTGAAGATCCAGAGGATCCAAGAGCTCCTGAAGATCCAGAAGACCCCAGGGCTCTAGAAAATCCTGAAGATCCTAGGGCTTCCGAAGACCCAGAAGATCCAAGGGCTCCTGAAGATCCAGATGACCCCAGAGCTCCCGAAGATCCAGAAGATCCTAGAGCTCCCGAAGATCCAGAAGATCCCAGAGCCCCTGAAGACCCAGAAGATTCAAGAGCTCCTGAGGATCCTGAAGACCCCATAGCTCCAGAAGACCCAGAAGACCCAGAAGACCCCAGAGCTCCTGAAGATCCCGAAGACCCACAACCAGCAGCTGACGAACCAGAAGATCGTAGAGCTCCAGAAGACCCAAAAGATCCCAGAGCTACTGAAGATCCAGAAGACCCAAGGGCTCCAGAGGACCCAGAAGACCCCAGGGCTCCAGAAGACCCAGAAGATCCCAGAGCTCCTGAAGATCCCAGGGCTCCAGAGGACCCAGAAGATCCCAGAGCTCCTGAAGACCCCGAAGATCCCAGAGCTCCAGAGGACCTAGAAGATCCCAGGACTCCTGAAGACCCAGAAGATAGAAGGGCCCCTGAAAATCCAGAAGATTCCAGAGCTCCAGAAGATCCCGAAGATCCCAGAGCCCCTGAAGATCCAGAAGATCCCAGGGCTCCTGAAGATCCAATGCAACCAGAACCATATTAATCACTCAATTTAAATACACATTAATAAAAACATTAATCAAAAACCGAATTTACACTACTCTAACAATAGATATCTGAAAATATTTGAACGTTTCAATAATTCCGAAATAGTCAATAGTTTTAATACCTAACAATAAATATACACTAATTTTAATTTAATTTATTATTATTAACATGTTTATTTATTTTTAATTATAAAATTACTATTTGCACAAAAAATAAATTATAGGTTAATTTCATATAAACTTGAAATACAAGTAAATAAACATAATAGATAGGTACCCAAAAAGTGAATAACACTTGTTTTGGAATTAAATAACATAATAACTATAAGCTTAAATAAAGAAGAACAATGAGCAAGAACATGAGAAAACTAGGTATCTGCGGACAAACAAAAATATTTACCTATCAATACCTTAAAACAATTAACGTAAAACATACAATTTTACATTATATTATTTAGATTAGACAAACAATTTGTAAATTAAAAGATACAATTGTTCAACAAAAAATATTATGTTGTTATCAATAATAAAATTATATGTATTTATGCATTACCCAATCAACTGATTCAAGACTCAAAAATATCACGAATTGTTTTTCTGGGCATATAAAAAATATATATATTAACGCTTTTTTCAATAAATATATACTCGTACTCATTCTAAAATCAGTTGGTACATTACTAACTGATCTTCGGAGCTAAATAAGTATAAGATTTTTTACCAATAGTTTTTGGAGGTATATTAGAGTTGTGCTTGTGTCTGGTTCTGTAAGCATATTTCAGATTAGACCAGCTACAGATGATTCATGAATTATTTATTAAAACTTATTTAAGAAAATCTTTTCTGCAGTGCTTTCAAACGAGTTAAATGTGTTTTAGTCACACTGCCCCAACCAAAAATACATACATATTTCAAGTGACCTTCGACCAGAGTTTGATAGAATATTTTCAAATGTTGGACATTGAATATAATTTTAAGATATTTAAATTTACATGTGTATCTCATCTTAAATGTGATAATAACACCTAAGTACATAAATATTTTAATTTAGTTTATCATCAGCAAATCATCAGCTTATAATATCCCCAATGCTTGGTAGTGAAAACAATCCATTTGTGTATATAGAAAAAAGAATAAGACCTAGTACGGTGCCTTGCGGAACTCCATATTGTATTAACATTGGGTCAATTGTATGAGATGAATTATTTAAAATTTGTCTTTAATACTGATGTCTTGTCCGATGTCTAAAGTGTTTAGTAAAGGTACCTATTCTATCAAAATATATTTCATAATTAACCAAAAGAACGACATGTGACAGATCACAATCTAAAATTATTAATAGTTAGCTATTATGTGGTAATATTATGCTGCATTTTTAAATTATTTGTTTGATCTTTAAGTTGCCTCTCGATCTTATGATAATAAATCAATAATTTCTAACTTTTAATGTAATTTTTTAGATTGCAATTCGAGATAAGTTTCTGTAGTGATAAAAGTCTTCCAAAGAAACTTTTTTTTCGGTTCCATCACTCTACCTTTTTTTTCATTTTTAAATTTTAAAACATCAAGATTTAAATACAGGGTGATAAAGTTAGAGTATTATTTTTTTGTGTTTCTTTAAACATTTCATCATGCCTGCATCCTATACAGAGCCTAACAGCAACGTTGTGACAATTTTTCCGAAATGAATTATTGACAGTTGGAAATCTGCATATCTCTTCCAAGGCTCCTGAAAATCCAGAGGGTCCTAAACATCCCAAAGCCTCTGAAGATTCTGAAGACCAGAGGCTCAGGGTTTCTGATTGTACTGAAGTTTCCAAAGCTCCAGGAGATAATATAAATTCTTGAACTCTAGACCCCAGAGATCCTAAAGGTCCAGAAAACCCTGAAGAGAACAAAGCTCTCAAGATTCAATAAATCTTAAAAGTCGCGAATGCGAAATTTGTTCGATCGCTAGAAGTTAAATTTTACATTTCACAACAAAAATTGAAGAATTTTGGTTCCATTCCTTGTAGAAGAGTTTGAAACGAACATGAAGTCCTTAAATAATTAAAATATAGTTCTTACGCAACAAGACTTTTTAAAGTAACTATACTATGCACTATACCAAATAATATTAATAATATAATATACATATCTTCAGTGTTTCTTGAGTAATTGATCAGAAAATACGTTTCATAATATCGTGGAATGTGGAATCAAATTCGCCTATGTTTCCAATACCCTCCAACGCGATCAATATGCAATCGCTTCGGAGACCGCTACATTCGGATGTCGGTAGGCATGTTTCTGACATCGCCAAAATCGCCGATGTTTCCAAAATTCGACTCTCGAGCCAACCGGACGACAAATACCACTCCGAGAGTCCTCCTTTCCTTTGAACAACGATCTACCCCCGAGATTGCCGACAAGAGCCAAAGATGGAAAAATTTTCGACTTTCGAAAAATCCATAATCACATTGTCTAAGTTCAGACTTCTAACTTTACACAGACAACCAAATTTTAATCTAAAACTGCAATGTTTACAGGAAAATTTGTCCAATTACCCAAAAAATAAATTTGACAAAGTTGTCAGGCTATATAGTTGTCATAATCTTCCCATCCACATATACACAACAAAAGCCAACACTTGACTAATTTTTATAGCAAAGGTATAGCCTCTAACTATCGCAAATTAAATAATTAATTTAAAAAATAGACTGCACTACACAAACAGCGAATATTAAACTTAAGGTGCTAAATTAAACACTTCTCAGTGACAGAATGATTTTCGAAGCACTGAATCGAGTGAAGAATTGTCCGTAACATTAATAGCTAAAGTAATAAATTTTTGTAGTACCAACTTAAAAATAGTCAGTTTTAAGCTGATAGGTTTGGTAAATCAAGGAATATTTTCCTCTTGTATAATTTTCGTAGTAATTCCTAAACAGCATCATTTTTTAGCTAAAATAGTGGGGGATTAAACACTTTTATAGCGATATTTCAAATGTCTAATTCATATAAAAAACGTTCTTCCATCATACATGATAAAATTGGAATTTGAAAGTTATGCGTGACATTGGCAACACTGCAAAGTTGATCTGGCATTCATGATATACAAATTATGTTAAGTATAAATGAATTAAAGTGAGAGATATAGCAAAGGTTATGAACATGTCAAAAGAACGTGTTTGTCACATATTAAATCAACATTTAAACATGAGAAAGCTGTCCGCGCGTTGGGTGCCGCGTTTGCTCACGTTAGACCAAAAACGTGTTCGAACATTTAGGCGCAATAAATCCGAGTTTTGGCGCCGATTAATTACTGTAGATGAAACTTGGATACACCATTATACGCCCGAAACAAAAATACAGTCCAAACAGTGGACTGCAAAGGGGGAACCGACTCCAAAAAAAGCAAAAACTGTTTTTTCGGCTAGGAAAGTGATGGCGACTGTTTTTTGGGATAGTCATGGGTTGTTTTAATCGATTATTTTCAAAAAGGAAAAAACCATCACAGGAGCATTCTACGCATCATTACTTGACAAGCTGAAGGCAGAACTTGCGGAAAAACAGCTACATTCGCAGAAAAAGAAAATCCTGTTTCACCAAGACAACGCATCGTCTCATACCTCAGCGGTTGCCATGGCGAAAATCCACGAATTACGGTTTGAACTGCTTGACCATCCGCCTTACTGACCAGATCTAGCCCCAAGCGACTTCTTTTTGTTTCCTCATCTAAAAATTGCGCTCGGAGGACAGAGATTTTCGTCAAATGAAGAGGCAATCACCTTCGTGAACAATTATTTTGCAGAGAAAAACGCCAAGTACTATTTGGACGGGTTACAGAGATGGGAGCATCGCTGGGAGAAGTGTGTAGAGTTACAAGGAGACTACGTTGAAAAATAAAAAATAAAATTCTGAAAAAATGTCTTGTATCTTTGTTAAGTCGGAAACTTTTCAGACCACCCTCGTATATTTAATATTTGGAATTTCGAACTACGCATTTATTTTTGTGCATAGAAGAAATCTTATCTCGAGTACCCAAATAAAATTAAAAAGCAAGCACGGGAGACATGTTTATCTTCATAATTTTTTCAAACAATCAAAAATACATTCCTTTATACTATATTTAATCGCGAATTAGAAAAATAAGGACTATAAAAAGTAAATTTCCAACAGTGATAACCGTACTAAGTAAACAATTCTACGACGCATTTCATAAAATATGTTATTTTAACAACCACTTAAGTACTTTGTATATTCATCTTATTTCGAGGTACCTACGCATTAATAATGAGAAAAAACGCCCTATCGCATTATGATCATCTACAATACTCTAAATATAAATCAGTTCAAAACTAGAAATTATTACAAGAATCTTTTATTAACAGACAATACGGATTAAATGTCATACCAACTATAATAATTATTTGTTTTAACTAGGCAGAAAAGTACAAGATTTAATGCCGCGGCTGGTATATAAAAGACGAGGCGCAACCGAGGAAAAATTATTTAAAAAATTTAAAAGGAAAATTTAATGCAAAAAAATCGTTAATAAACAATTTGAAAATAAGCAAAAAAATCGATTTCCTGATTTTTTTCTTACTTTTTTGCCTCCAGTTTATTTGAGTAAAGATAAGTATAGGTATTGCTTCATAGGAAAAAAAGTAGATAAAATTTCCTTCAGAACAAGAGGCTGTAAAATTTTTTTAGATGAAAATTGATATATGGTCGCTCAAACTTAGCCAATTTTTCGATTTTCGTCGCGTTTACTCTCATACGTTTTAATTCTCATTTTTTTGCAGAAAAGGAAGGAAATAAGACGTTCAAGGATTTTCATCACATGACTTGTTCGAAGGGTCATTAAAAATGAAAATACCGCGGGTTGAAATTGAAGATAGGTGTGAAAATGCACTTTTGCAGTTTTTTAAATATAGCACGAAAACGAAGCAAAATTTCGGTATGGTTCATAGGAAAAATTTTGTAGAGAATTGGATTTCTCATGGAAGTGGCTTATTTAAAAAATGTAAAAGAAAAATTTAATCCAAAAAATCGTTAATAAACAATTCTAAAGAAAACAAAAAATAAGATTTTTGACTTTATCGAAAAATGTCACACTTTATAAAATGTTCAGCCCCTCGAAAAAATGGAACTGTCATACAAATACTTTAGATTAGATATACAGGGTACTCATAAATTAAAATAACACGAAAATACTCAAGAAAGAAGTATCATTATTTATTATTTTACACAACATTTTTATAAAACAAATCTGTTTATAACGTCAAATAATGTCCTAATACAAATTTTAAAATCAAAATTTCAATTCTGACTTTTACTCTATATGTATAGCTACTTCTCACCTAAAAAATTGAAATTATGATTTTAAAATTTGTATTAGGTCATTATTTGAGGTTATAAACAGAGTTGCTTTATAAAAATGTTGTGTAAAATAATAAATAATGATACTTCTCTCTTGAGTATTATTGTGTTTTTTTAATTTATGAGCACCCTGTATACTTATCTAATCTAAGATGTTTGTATGACAGTTTCATTTTTTGGAGGGGCGAAACTTTTTATAAAGAGTGACATTTTTCGATAAAGTCAAAAACAAAAGAGTTTCTCTTCTTGTCATCTCCATCCGTGAACACACTGTATACACATTAATAAACTTTATTGTACTTAAATTCTCAAGTTTTTACTAAACTATTTCATTAAAAAAGTAAAAAAAAAATTAAAAAATCTTATTTTTTGCTTTCTTTAAAATTGTTTATTAACGATTTTTTTGCATAAAATTTTCCTTTTAAATTTTTTAAATAAGCTATTTCCATGGAAAATTCAATTCTCTAAATAATTTTTCCTATGAACTATAGCGAAATTTTGCTTCGTTTTCGAGCTACAATTAAAAAACTGAAAGGGGTGCATTTTCACCCCTAAGGTTAAAGATATGTCTCTACTTAAAATGACACACTGGTTCCTAAAGGCAAGACAAGATCAGAAAATGTTTAAAGCAGTCAATTTCTTGTAGCTTTTTATCGATGCAGGTACGTTTTTGTACTTTTCAAAGCTGTTTTATTAAATAATTCCTTTATGTTTAGGCGATTGCTATTTTTGCTGTTACTGGTGGGCGCAGATATGACGAAATAATGGAGATGTGCATGGAGCATATAGAAGAAAAAAGTATAATCCTCCTGGTTCATCTTCCACTCACAAAAACTCACAAGCAGCCATGTTTCCCAAGTATCGACAAGGCAAACATGCCGTTCAATTTGTGAGTTTATTGACACTTTCGAAAAATATCTAAAAATATTGACAGGTTTCTGAAACTAGAAAATGCAGAAACATGTACTGGTCACTCATTTCGCAGATCAGCAGCTACTTTCTTGGAAGATTGTGATGCAGATCTCACTGCTTTGAAGGGTTTTGGGGGTTGGCAAAGTGACTAAGCAGCTGAAGGATATATCGAAGATTTTCTTCAACAGATAATGAGAATTGTGAAGAAAATGGAGAATGACAGCGGTGCTGGTACTGCCTCTACTACTACTTTTACGGTTACTGTTAATGCTACCTCTTCTACTGCTTTCTCACAAAGAAAATGAACCTCCTTGTATTGGTTTTGGTAATGCGATTCAATTTCGCAATGCAATTTTTCATTTTAATATAAATACTAAGAAATAATTAAATGTTTAATGTTGTATTCTTTGTTTAAATTATAATTATTTTATTTACTAAACACTTTTTTTAGTTTCAAATTTGCGCCAAATATGTAATCAAATGTTAAACTATTGCAACAAATAACACTATGACAAATATACTATTTTTGAACTTGGAGCATCACATACTCTGATTCCAATTTTTTAAAGTTGGTATTTGCAGCATAACTTTAAAATAAATGAAAATCGCATAACATTTGACTGTTTTCTTATTATTCTGACTTGCAGAATCCATTTCTGGAGTTTGGTGCCATTCTTCCTGCTCACCCTGTATAAAAATTCTCAGTTCATTGTATTATTCATATTTCATATAAACTTTTGAATTGAGATATGCATAAATAGCGCATTATTGTAAATACATTTCTTCGTGATTTTAATAAAGCTTTTCATATAAATTTTATATCGTGGAAGACGGTCGCGATGGTTTGGATTTCATTTTGGAAATTTGATCAGTATTTTTCGATTTATATGTACCACAAAACTTATATCTCACCTTTCACGAAAGTGATTGAGACTTATCACTCGATATACCATTTAGCATGTTAACTTCTATTATATTGAACAAAAATAAATATGTAAATATAAAAAAAACAGCTGCTGATGTTCCAAATACTTCAAATTATTCAAATAGTTTAAATTGTTATTTAATTGTCATTTAACCACCTGGTGCTATTGAGATACGAATCAAAATGCTTAGCAAAATACTCGAGATAAAATTATTCGATTTCATATAAATACGAAAGAAAGTCCACAGACGATCAATCTAGTCTTAGATCTAAAGCTACAGCAAAGATGAAGACTATCGCCTGTCTGGCTGCTCTTGCCCTTGTGTTGGCTCTATCTGTAAGTAGAACTATATTTCTTTTTTATAAAATATACTAAATTATTTTAAATAAATTGCAAACGTTAGTTGTAATTTTATAATGCAAACAAAAAATTTGAAGTAATTTTGGCTTTACATCAGAATATATAATAAATGTAATTGTAAAATTCCTTTACAGGTCAACGTAGAGGGGCATGCTATCGACATTCATAAGGTGAAATCGTCATCGCATGATAATGTGCTGGAAATCGACATTCAAATTAAATCTGAAGAACTAGAACAACCAGAAGATCCAAGAGCTCCCGAAGATCCAGAAGATCCTAGAGCTCCAGAAGACCCAGAAGACCCAAGGGCTCCTGAAGATCCAGAAGATCCTAGAGCTCCAGAAGACCCAGAAGATCCTAGGGCTCCTGAAGATCCCGAAGATCCTAGAGCTCCCGAAGATCCAGAAGATCCCAGGGCCCCTGAAGATCCAGAAGACCCCAGGGCTCCTGAAGACCCAGAAGACCCCAGGGCTCCTGAAGATCCAGAAGATCCTAGAGCCCCTGAAGATCCAGAGGATCCTAGAGCTCCGGAAGATCCCGAAGACCCCAGAGCTCCTGAAGATCCAGAAGATCCCAAAGCCCCAGAAGACCCAGAAGACCCTAGAGCTCCAGGCGAACCCAGAGCTGCTGACATACCAGAAGACCCTAGGGCTCCTGAAGATCCAGAGGATCCTGAAGACCCCAGGGCTCCTGAAGACCCTGAAGATCCCAGGGCCCCCGAAGATCCAGAAGATCCCAGAGCCCCAGAAGACCCAGAAGACCCAAGGGCTCCTGAAGATCCAGAAGATCCCAGAGCTCCAGAAGATCCAGAAGATCCTAGAACTCCAGAAGATCCAGAAGATCCTAGGGCACCTGAAGATCCAGAGGATCCAAGGGCGCCAGAAGATCCAGAAGATCCTAGAGCTCCAGAAGATCCCGAAGATCCAGAAGATCCTAGGGCTCCAGAAGACCCAGAAGATCCTAGAGCTCCTGAAGACCCAGAAGACCCAGAAGACCCTAGAGCTCCAGGTGAGCCCAGAGCTGCTGATTTACCAGAAGATCCAAGGGCTCCTGAAGATCCTGAGGATCCTAGGGCTCCAGAAGACCCTGAAGACCCTAGGGCCCCTGAAGATCCAGAAGATCCTAGGGCTCCTGAGGATCCAGAAGATCCCCGAGCTCCAGAAGATCCTGAAGACCCCAGGGCTCCTGAAGACCCAGAAGATCCCAGGGCTCCTGAAGACCCAGAAGATCCCAGAGCTCCTGAAGACCCAGAAGATCCCAGGGCTCCAGAAGATCCAGAAGACCCCAGGGCTCCTGAGGCTCCTGAAGATCCCAGAGCTCCTGAAGACCCAGAAGATCCCAGAGCTCCAGAAGATCCCGAAGATCCCAGGGCTCCTGAAGATCCAGAACACCCAGAACCATATTAATTTATTAAATTCATATTATTCATTTCAACCTAATATTAAATAACAAATAAACACATGCTATTTAACACATACTTTATTTTATTACCTATCCACCTGCTTTATGAAACATTTGTTAGAATCATCATTCAATTTTTGTTTCACATATGTATGACTGAATACACTTAGAACTTTATTGTTATTAACGATATTTATCGTATAGACAAATACCTAGTATTCATAAGAACTGATCCCTTAAGGTTTTTTTTTTTCATAGAATCCACAGGTGTTTTACTTTTTCTATTCGTTATTGATTTTGTACAATAATAACCTGAAATCCATTTTTGTCATAGAATCTATTCAAAATACCTTTTTTAAATAAATACACTATGGCTGCTGCCCATATACAGAGTGTTCCGTAAAGTTTGTTACAAACGTTGTTACATGTTACAAAATGGTGAGAGTGGATAACAAAAAAAATTACTGAAAATTCTAATAAACGTAACTTTCTAAATGCATCGTTTCCCAGTTAAAAAAAGGGGCAAAGTAGTTTTTATGATCCTTTTTCTTAAAAAAAAAGAGCTTCATGAGCTTTAATTAAAAAAAAAAAGTTTGTTCCACGTACTGTTAGCTGAAAATACTAGAATACGGTATTTAGGGATCTGAAATTGGTCCGAAATAGTTCACATTTCCAAACAATTTCAGAAAAAAAGTATTTTTTTGATTCCTACGATATTTAACATTTTTTATGAAAAAAAGATATTGATTTCAGCGAAATAAAATCAATTTAAAAAAATGAATAATAGACGCAAAATTTATTCTTTAATTGATTTTTGGCAGAAGTGACAATTTCGATCATCCAGATTAAAATGAAAGAAAAATCGCAGCAGTTTGAACTATTGATGGTATCTTTAGGATAATTTGAGGTTAATAATAACCGAAAATATCCATAGTCTATACATTATTTCTCATGTTACCTCAAGTTTAGCGAAAGTCTTTAAATACGCAATTTTGAACCTTTTTTAAGTCTTGTAGAGACCCCCCCTCTTTCAGATGGATTTCTTAAATCGTTTTCAACAATAAACATTTTCCTGAAACTAGAAACCTCAAGCTTCGATTTGTTCTTTTTTAGATATTGCTCTGTAACCATTTTTCGCCAACCTATTGAAAACAACCTAAAAATATAGGATTGTTTTTCATCCTTTAATTTTAGTGACTGGTTCATTATTACTATCTAAAGTTTGCGATTTACTTAACAATTTACGGGACACCCAACATGTAAATATACTTCATAATTTGAAGTACCACGTCAGGTATTTATTTTTGTACACAAAACGAATTTTATCTCGAGTACCTAAATATAATTAAAAACTGATTAACGATTATCTGCATCGTTTTTTCAAAGAATCAACAACGCGATCTGCTACACACTTGTGCAAAATATTTAATCGTAATTTAGAAAATTGATGATGAAACCTATGAAGCGTAAATTTCCGTCTTTGATATTAATAACTCTAATATACGTTTATAAAATTATACGACGCATTTCATAAAATATATTTTAGCAGCATATTCTACGACTAGAAAACAAGTAAAAAGTATACAGGTTGTAAATAAATATGAAAATGCGAAATGATTAGAGGTTGAAATTCCTCATGCAAAATTAAGGGGTTGTGTATCATATAACAAAATCTCTTCTTCTCTTTGCGGATGTAAAGCCCTTCAAACAAGGAGAAGAAACAAATTGTATTTTTTTTCCTTAAATACATATAACGAAGATTGCGAAAATAAGATTACGGACGCTTTTGCTATTATTAAAAAAGCACTTATTGCTTAAGGAGCTTCGATACCGAAAAAAAATGGTAAGAAAGTTTTCAAAATCATTGAAATCAAACTAAATTTGGCACGAATTTGTTATTTTTTGAAAATTCGTGATATCTGACCTTAATTTACCCTTTTTTTAGGTTAGAAAAAGAACCATCAATTCTGACCGCGGATTGATGTTCGGCGGGGTCTTAGTCATATAAATGAGCATTTGAACATATATTTAAAAAATATATTTTTCCTAGCACTTTTTTGTGAATTTTTGCTATTTTCGACCTGTTTTTTGAGGTTAGGAACTTCCTGTAATGTGATAGCACAATTCTGACAGCGGATTCGTGATCAGAGGCAAAAATACTACGGATAACATATGTCACATGAAAAGTACAGACAACTTATTTTTGTATGGTTGTGTAATTTATTGTATAACTTATTTTCTAACCCCAATAGAGTCTTTTAAAATCTGCTTTAGATAGCTTCATTTATTTGCAACAAATTTAAGCTCTTCTGCTTTGTTCGTAAATAAGTAAAAATAAATAAAATAGGCATGCAAGATTTTACTCTGACGAGCAAGAGCTTTTATTACGATAAAAATACAATAAAACGAACGAAAATAAATTGAATAAAGCCTTGATTATATACGGAAAACCAAAATATCATAATAAATGTTATAAATGTTCTTGCACACTAAACCTTTTAAATTATACGGCATACAAAAATATATAGGACTTAAATCTAGTATTCGAGGAGGTCCACCACATCCTATCCAACAATTTGAATATGCTTCATTTACATATCGTCAAATTCATTTCCTTACAATATGGCGGTGTTTGTTTACATTTGTATAATCTGTATTTACCTACTGTTCATGAATTTTGCTTTGGAAAGATGAGAAGAATAATTTCTCTAAGACATTTAAAAAAAATTCAATGCTGACTTTCGCAAAGACACAAACCCTTAAAAAACTTCCCTTAAAACTTATTTATAAAAAAATGTATACTAAAGTGGACAGACGCTATCGTGGATAAACCAAATCTCAGCTCTGAGGCCTAGAAAACATACATCTGTAAGGAATACTGGCACTAAATCTTCGAGAAAGTGAGTATAAGTATGTTTATTCAGTGTAGGTGGCAGAGACTTGGACTAGTTATGCAGTTTCCAATTTTTATTCAGTCGCTTCAGCAGTGAATCGGTGCGGAACATATAGACAAAATAAATAAAACAAAAATTAAACTTAAGCAGAATCACATCATGTTCCAAACGCTTCCGAAGGGCAACAGAGGTTCACCACCGACTTTAAGTTGATATGCCTTTGAAAAGAGGCTATTGCCAATTGACACACTTGGTATGATATGTCTGGATGGTAAACTGGTTTAAAACAAACTGCCATGTTAATTCAGCCAAACGTTATCACTATTTCACTTTGTTACTTTTTATTTTACTTTTCGACTTTATCGGTTTACGAGAGGATGTTCGTAGAGTGATTTTGTGTGGTGTAAGTGTATAGTCTTATAAAGTTATTTATTTAAGTGTTTAGTGACGGTAGAGTGTAATTTTGTGTTTTAATTTTCAAGTTTTTGTATGATATGAAAAAACAAGTACACGAATCAAGAAAGAGTTTGTATATAATTTTGGTAACATATTACTGTAGCTAACTGCTGTTATTGTTATGCCTTTCGGCCTACGTTCACCATAATTCCGACTTGGTCCCAAAAGACGATGACCATGAACTTTCCAGGTAAAGACTGTGTGCTGACTTTTTTGGAAATAAAACCCCTTTGCATAGATAATTTTATTTGTGGATCCTAGTAATGTACCCAAATCTCTTCGCCCATCGTCATCTTTAAGAAAAGATTAGGCTCTGCACCAAAAAAATTTTTTGTCTACCAGTCGATAATTTGGGACTCGCCTAAGGTTAATGATTTAATTAATTATAGGTTAAACAAGTACATCATCCAATGATGGAGGTTTTGGGTGCAATGCCACTGCAAAAAACGGAATTTCGAAATTTTATGGAATATCCTAGATCTATTGCATAAATCAACTCTCTTGCATTTAGTCGTAGAGCATTGTTAAAATATTGCGTTATATTTTCAAGAACCCATATTAAGTGCGGTAATTTGTTATATTAAAAAAAGTATCGTATTATGCACAAACAGTAACGGCTTATGATGTATCAAACACCTCGAATTTTTCAAATTCCTCTTTAACTTCTTGAGTGCTATTAAGATAGAGATCTAGGTGCTTTGCATTCCCACAAAACATTCGCCGCAGTTTTAGATAAAAAATTGTTTGATTTCGTATAAATACCCGACCAAATCACTACCAATCCAGTCTTAGATCTACAGCTAAAGCGAAGATGAAGACTATCGCTTGCCTTGCTGCTCTTGCCTTTGTGTTGGCATTTTCTGTAAGTGCAATCATATCTTTTTAACATATGCTTTTGTTTAACACGTGCTATTTTTATAACTTTCATGGAAAAGAATATTTTTGAAGATTATTGAAAAGAAAATATTTATGTACATTAGTTACTATCCCTACTCATTCAATTATGTATTAATAACAGAAGTATTTATTTCATTCAGTCATAAATTTGATTTTTAATTTCTACAAACAAGAAAAATATTACTGATCATAGAAAATTACTTCAAACCTGTCTCATATTGTGTATATTTTACTTTATTCTGTATGTATATATTCCACGCAAATTTGGACAAACCCAAATGGTAATGCCAAGGGAAAACTAACATGGGATATAATTTTTTTAGGTCAACGTAAGTGGCCATGCTATCGACATTGATAGGGTGAAATCATATTATCACGATGATGTGCTGGAAATTGACATTAAAATTAAATCTGAAGCATTAGAAGAACCTGAGCACCCAGAGGACCCCAGAGCTCCAGAAGATCCAGAAGACCCTAGGGCTCCTGAAGACCCAGAAGACCCAAGGGCTCCTGAAGATCCAGAAGATCCCAGAGCTCCAGAAGACCCTGAAGACCCCAGGGCTCCTGAAGATCCAGAAGATCCCAGAGCTCCCGAAGATCCAGAAGACCCAAGAGCTCCTGAAGACCCAGAAGATCCTAGAGCTCCTGAAGATCCAGAAGACCCCAGGGCTCCAGAAGATCCTGAAGACCCCAGGGCTCCAGAAGATCCCGAGGACCCTAGAGCTCCAGAAGACCCTGAAGACCCCAGAGCTCCAGAGGATCCCGAAGACCCACGACCAGCAGCTGAAGACCCAGAAGACCCCAGAGCCCCCGAAGATCCAGAAGACCCAGAGGACCCAAGGGCTCCAGAAGATCCTGAAGACCCCAGAGCTCCTGAAGATCCAGAAGACCCAAGGGCTCCCGAAGATCCAGAAGACCCCAGGGCTCCAGAAGATCCTGAAGACCCCAGAGCTCCCGAAGATCCAGAAGATCCCAGGGCCCCCGAAGATCCTGAAGATCCCAGGGCCCCCGAAGATCCTGAAGATCCCAGAGCACCAGAAGACCCTGAAGACCCCAGAGCTCCTGAAGATCCTGAAGACCCAAGAGCTCCAGAACCAGATAGACCATTCAGCTTGTTCTAAAAGTTGTTAGCCAAATACATGCTAAAATTTATGTAAATATAACATCCAATGATGCTGTAAAATAAAAACATAAATACACATCTAACATTTTTTATTATTTACATAATAATAATAGGTACATAAGTTGAATACGTTAAAAAAATATATAGTCATTTGATTATTATTTCTTACTATTAATGACAACAGTGAAAGAGATTACTTCTATTACATCCACCAACACGTATTGTATTTGTAAAATTTTGAGTTTTTTTAATCAAATTGTGAATTGCGTTTTCTAAATCATAGAACGAGTCATATAATTCCACAGAGTGAGAAGCATTGCATCTAGTAATTAATATCCTTTGGTACACCCCAGCGGTCTTCAAACTTTTACGAATTGCGGAACCCCGTCAACATTTCGATGTTTATGAGGAACACCCACACCTAAAAAAATTTGCGAACACATTTTTTAATGATTATTTATTATATTTTAAATACTACGATTAACAAAATCATTATTCCAGTAAGTAAAAATTAAAGTACGACTTTAAAATTTAAAGTTAATATTTATTGAATAATTTAAAAAAGAGTAAATATAATCAAAGATTGGGATGGGCTTGAATATTTTTACATAATATGTTAAAATCAGGTGCTATTGTCGTAAGGTGCAACCGTATTTCAAATTCTGCATTAAGCGCATTGCGATACTTTGTTTTTGTTGCTACGTACGTGGAAAATGATTTTTCGCACAGGTACGTAGTTGCAGAAGGCATTAATACATTTATTGACTGGTCAGCAATTTCATGACACTCCTTATAAATCTCTAGCCAAAAATCAAGGGAAAGGCGACGTAACCAACGCGAAAAACTCTACGGCAGCTTATAAAGTTATAAGCCGACTTACTTGCACTTGCATAAACAGATAAAGCTCTTATAGTAACTTACACGCGTGTACTTATAAAAATAAAAAGTTTTAAGAGTCTAATTTTTTTTAATTTTGTAAGTATCGATAATAAAATTTTAAATTTTTGATTCCCGACAAGAGAAAATATATAGTTATTGGAAACACACAATATATTTAAATTTTGTGAAAAGACAAAGATAATTACAAGAAACAAACAAACAGTATCGAATGTAGACATGAAAAGAGTAAGGTTAAATTCCAAATTCCAAGTGTCAGGCAAAAAACGGTACTTAAAGATAAATATTAGACTTAACTTAAGAGCAGAGAGATCTGCAGAATCAGATAAACTGGGGACACATATGAATATGTGAAATGGGGCATCTACATAAGAATAATATTAATTAGCTCCCTGAATGATTGACTAAACTTAACATAAGACCAGACTGTTTTGATATCAGATTTCAGAATCAAAAAACAATAGCACCATGAAGATTTTTTAACTGATTTGTGGTCATACTCGGGCACAGAATAATCTATTCCCCCATAAACTGAATAAAATTTACTACAAGGTTTGTTGATATATGAAACATTAGAAAAAAATGAGCAGTTATAACTATTTAAGTTTTGGTTTAAATAATAATATTAAATCCTAAATTGATCCTTAGGGGACACCAGACGATACAGATATTTCAAACGACCCCAATCCATGACCATATTATCGCGTATTAGTTGTTTCAGGTATAGAATATCTGTGCCAGAAAAAAAACAGGAAAAATGAATGACTATTTGCGTAGGGAGTTACTTGTATGATTAGCGAAATGAAACATATTCGGTGAATTAGAAGTCTTTAAAACAAGTAGCAACGTTGCTAACAATGCTTTGACCATCCTCCATTCCAGGATTCCATGGAAGATTGTTTGAATCTTTTTTAGAATTCACGTAGGACCAAAATGATTTGACGTCTTGTTTATATTATTTTGATAATGTCTTTAATAATAACTACTTCTGATGGAGGGAGCTATTTTGAGAACATATGTATAATTCCAATGCTTCAAAAACTTTATCAATAAAAAGATTATAGGCCATATCAACATCTGTACAATAAATTGGAGAGTTCTACTGTCCTTGAAAAGTTCGCTACTTTTTAAACTAAGAAGAAATGTCACTCATAGCTAGAATCTAAACTAATATAAAAATAATAATATACTGACTGACATATTCAACAACTCTTGTAGTCCAGTCGGCAGAGGCCGAAAAGTTACTGTTGGTCACATTTCCTTGATAACTTGAAAAGAACTACACAGGAATACTTTAAATTAACTATAGTTCAATATATATATATACAATAATGACGCTAAAGCCGAAAATCGGGAGAGCAAAACTTTTTGTTCTATAAGGTTTTATCAAGGACATTTAAATAAAGGGGACTATGCATGTCACAGTCTATCTCATATGTTGGGTGAAGCTAGACAAGAGAAAAGAAGAGGGCTTTATTTTCATCCAACTGATGCGCGCGATTACATCTCCAATGTCGTACATTTTGGATGGGTTAAAATAAAATATTTTATACTCCTAAGTCAATATATTTCAACAGCTACTCAGTATTTTTATAATAAATATATATAATATTTTTATAACTTCTTGGAATCCCAATAACTGTAACCATTTCTTTCTTGTTGCACCATCCCCAAGCATCCTAAAAACGTTCACATTTCACTTTTAGAATACTGAGGCAAATTTTCAGTGAGACATAAAAATATATTCCCAAAGGAGAACATCAAATGGTTGAATGAATGCAACTTTCAGTTGATTGCATCTTCGGTATTTTTATGTATAAGTGAACCACCACCATATTTTTGCTGTTGTATTTATTCAGTTTTTATGCTCGTGCATTTAGTAAAATTGTAAATATATTTTTGAAAAGGTTTTTGTCGTAGAGGAAAATGAAAATGATGAATGATTAAAATTTGTAATGTTGGGTATAAGGGATAACATTGAAATACCTATAAATATATTAAATATAAATAATGTCTGTAACTTATTTGTGGTGCAGCATTTTCCTTTGATTTTAATGGCCAAACGTGGTTCATATTATTGTTTTCTTACTATTTCAGCAAAAATTTTAAAAAAATACCAAGTCAGTTTTATAAAATTTTACCGTTATTCAAATAAAAGTTACCCACACGCACGACAATGGCCACAGTTGCACATACATTCCAAAGTCACCTTCAAGCACGCTTACCTGTGGAAGGATAGCTGATGTGGATGTTTATAATCCAATTTCTTACAAATTCTGCACTGTCTAACCATATTCACACCTTAAAAGTTTATCCAAAATACATGTATAAACACTAATCACGTTTCACTTACTAAAATCACAACTATTTTCTAACAAGAGACGCCATATTCTGCCAACCACGGCAGAACGAACGAGGAACACGCTACAAATTATTGCGTAGTTGCCAAGTCTTCAAACATGGCAAATATGAAAAATGAAAAATAGTTTAATATG